TTTGTTCCATACATTTGTGTTATTCTAGTAATTAATTGTAGTAATGTATCATCATCAGCCACATAATTACAATACATTTATATAAAAGGTTGAAGAGATTACGTTAATTAGTGTAGGTATTATTCTGAGAGAAGAATATTTCACCTAATTAATATACATCATGGAATAAAAAAAAAGCGGTGTATTAATCAACTGCTAAATTAATCTCAATGTTAATAGTAGACGAACACTTCAATGCGCCTAGGAAAAAAATTATGTTCCAGCAATCTGCCAGACCCAATTAACATAATCTTTCCGGCTTAACGTCGTAATATGATGGACTGTGCAAGGAAGATGATATATAGGACAGCCAGATGTCTTAGCATACATGAGTGTGTTGGGGAAATAGAGATATTCTACAGTATAAGACTTGAAACATTTACAGGAAATAATTTTTTCGTCACTTTTGTTCACGAATTAAAAAAATAAATAAATTGTACCTCCTCTGCTTTAGGGGTAAAATATCTAGAATATTTTATCAACGCGACGCTTTCAGGAATGAGAGGATTGATAAAGAGTACAGACTTGGTAAAACAATCGTCGTTAAGCAACAATATGCAGTACACAACCGAGAGTCGCGGACCTTATCGCAGAGTGAGGAAAAACTTCACATAATTATTTTCCACTGACCAGGGGCAAATGCTCATCTGTTTACTAGTGTAACTGTTCCCAATAACACTTATATGGCTCACCTTAAGTCTGTCAACAAGAGCAACGTTAGCAGAAAGGTATAAATTAAGTCGCAAAAGAATTTGAGAAAAGAGAAAATCGTAGCGCTGCCTCATATTGGTCACCGACACTGGAGAGTTAAACAGAAGTCGTCAAGCGGGGACAAACTTCACTGTTACAAGGGCGGATCCAGGGGAGTCCTTGGGGTCCGGACCTCCCTTTTCATCAGAAAATTACAATTCTTTTTCTTTAATGCAGTATTGTATTCAGACGTTTTTGTGTGGTAAAAAGTAATTACTATCGACTTCAGAATAATTATATCCTAACATCAAGTGCACTTGGCTTCAAAAAGGTCTCAAAGTGCCCATGATATTGGTCAGATTTTAAATAATGTCCTGGGGGGGGGCTAACAGCGCCCCCCCCCAAAAAAAAATAGCTGTGCTCGCCAAGTTCCCCCACCCACAACTTCTTGGACCCCCCTTTTGATATTCCTGAATCCGCCCCTGTGTTACCGTACTCGACCTGTCACTCCCCACTTACCTTCCTCTGAAGAGGGTCGAAAGGTAGAGAATGAGGATGATTTAATTAAGGCTAGCACAGTCAGTGTGGTGTTGGAGTAACCACAAAAAACTCAAGAGCACGTATAATGGCTAACGTCTGTCTGACCTCCCCAGCTGCCTCAGTCTGGGTTTATGGCTACTGGATTATAAATATAAAACCTTATAAATCCTCAATTAGCACCACGCTTCAGTCAACCCGGAAGTATAGCTTTGAGGTTCGTCCGCACTCTGGTAACGAGGGTATTGATGCCTCCAGGATTCTAGGAAAATTGTACGTGCAAACATTTACACGGTCAACACTGTGTCCGGCCGCCGTGTAACCGGTAATGGTGAGTAAATTAACTGACTCATGCCCGCCTCCCTCCACCGTCTGTGAACATTTGTGCTCCCCTCTGTTACCCTCCTCCCCCACCCACTCCAAAGCACCTTCAGTTAGCTGCCAACTATTCCAGCTATAATGGATCAGCCCCACCTCTGAACTATTATTCGACCTACTTTCGGTATAAAGCCAGGGAGGTTGTGATAAAGGAGACGCAAGCAGAATGAGCTCGGAGGTGTCACTTCTCTCCTTGGTGTGACGAAGACCTCCTCAACTCACTAGTATATGAAGTCCTCACAGAACACTGAAGTAATAACATGAAAATTTATAATCACTGGTAAACAAAAACACCAGCATCTTAAAACCCAATAATAAAAGTGTAAATAGCAGTCAGTTCCTGTGGATATAAAGTATGAGTAAAATAGAATCACCTGTAAAACAAAATAGAACTGGAGAATGTTTGTAAGGTGTGCGCCGCCGCCTACGTGAAAAACGGGTGGATAAACGAAAAGGTAAACATTGACGGCGACGGAGACATAACTGAGATATTGACAACACGTAAGAGCTGATATTCATTCTTTTGGGTGTGGAAATAAATGTCACTGATTAATGGAACTGGAACTTTTATTCAACCAGAAAATTTACAAGTAGGAAATATATCTTTTGAAAGTTACAACTCTCTAACACAATAGATACAGGCCAGTGAGTCTACTGTAAACTGTACAGTAAATAAAGTGTTGGGGAACATTATACACGACACCAAGAAGGATCATCTACAAAGGAACAACCTTGTGAAGGATTTCCATCACGAATATGTGCCCAAACGCTCCTGTCTGACACAGCTACTGGAGGTACTAGGTGTATGGTCACAGATCTTTGAACGTGATGGTAACATTAACAATAATTCCCGTGACTTTGCTAAGGCATTTAACAGTGGACACCTCATGAAAGAACAAAAATCAAATTGCCACGTGTACCAGCGAATAGGAGTTAATAGAACCCATGTTGCTTGTCTGTTTCATAAATGTTATGAAAGATGCTAATCACTATTTCATACACACACGTACTGGAGACGTACTGTAGAGCTATTTATGAAAAGCAAAGGCGGCTCTGTCAGAGCCTGAAATTAAGGAAGCCGTCGTACAAAACTGCACGAGTTAACTTTTTTTTACATTCTTTGATCAGGTTGTGACTGTTCTACATATATTCAAGAGTTCTTACTTACCCTAAACTCGGCAACAGTGCATAACAGAACGGACTGATAAAATGACCGGCTAGTAAGCCACCAGACTGGTGCCAGCATTTCGGCACCTCATCTACCCAGAGAGATTAGAGAGCCTGCAATTACCTAGCTTGTACTACAAAAGGGCAAGGGGGACCTACTGTAAATGAGGTGTATAATATCTCGAACGGCACTACTCAGTCGAATGCCCATACATGGAGCTGGCGGACGCTCGCCCCACAAGGGGTCACAGCTCAAGGATGAAGAAGCCGCAAGTCCAGAAAACTGTGAGGGCGAACTTTTTCGGAGTGAGAGTTGTGAACTCTTGGAACAACCTGCCAGAGAGTGTTGTAACGGCACCGAGTGTGAGCTCTTTCAAGACCAGACTTGGTCAGCACTGGAGCAGTTTCAGAAACATTCAAGAGTGCATGCCCAGTACTTGCCAACAGAAACGCGACCGATCGCCCAAGTGGCTAACGTACTGATCAGTTGTGAAGAGGATTAAAGTAAAGTAAAAAGACAGGTGGTTTTGTCCGGGCCGGATCCAGGATTATCAAAAGAGGGTGTCCAAGAAGATTTGGGTGGGGGAATATGGTAAGCACAGCGAGCCCACCCAGTTGGTTTTATTTATTTATTTTTCGGGGGGGGGGCGCTGTAAGCCCCATATATGTTTTTCTTTCTTTTTTTAATCTGACCAATATCCTGGGCATTTTGAAGCCATGTGCAGATGATATTTGGAGATATTCTGAGGTCAATAGTAATTACTTTTTACTCTTCAAAAAATGCCTGAGTACAATACTCCATAAAAGAGTATTGGAATTTTCTGATGAAAACGGGGTCCGGCCCCCCATAACCCGCCCCCCTGGATCCACCCTTGCCTCTGAGTCTAGTGTAAAATAAAGTGAATTTGAGTATTACGGAGGTTACCCCTCACAAATTCTCTGATAGTGAAAGAAAATGTTAAACAGTATATAAACGGGTAGACTTCCATATAATGGATTTCAACAAATTAAGTTCCCCTGATCAATTCTCTCTAATACTATGAGATAAAAGGTAACTCGCATACGAAGCTTCTTCACTTTGACCATCAACGAACGGAATGCAATATATAGCTCTTTCAAATACTGGAAATGCTGGACAGAGGACATAAAAATGAACTCGGGAGGACAATAAGATGAAGCTCATGGTTGTTAGCTGTAGTTTAGGGGTGGACGACGAGTGATTTGTCAAGTCGAATGAGTATTTTCTCATATTATCTTCAAAGTTACCTGCTCCAGTGTTTGTCAAGTCTGGCCTTGAATGAGCTCACACTCGGTGCTGTCACAACGCTCTGACGGATTGTTCCAAGAGTTCACAACTTTCACTCCAAAAATTTTATCTGACAATTTTCTGAATTTGTGGCTTCTTCAACTTTAATATGCAACCCCTAGTGGGGCGGGCGTCGGCTCAACTGGGTAATGTCCGAGTTGTCTGTTAAGTCACCCCTTGCTCGCCTATGGTAATATAGTATAAGCTAGGCAATTGCACGTATTCTATTTTCTCTGGATACCCGAGATGCCGTAGTACAGGCCCTGCTTTGAACATTTTCAATCAACTGACAATCTCTAGGATATCTCGGGGACCAGGCGGAGTAACAGTACCCCATTATTAAATTTCTAAAAGTGTACAACAGATATGGATAAAATTACCTAGACACCTAGCAATACAACATCTGGTAGAAGAGGTTGGGATGTGACCATCTGTTCACTCAGATTTTCTTAGTGGTATAGAGGTTTTCCCAGTTCGTTTGACATGGCTTATAATCAACACCAGTGACATCCGCTATAAACAAATCACACTCACATACATGACCCACAAGTAGATGCTAAATATTGCTGTGTCCAAAGAATCATAAACACCGCTTATTTCATCTGATCATTATGCACCAAATCGCTACCTATAGAAGGGGGTGATAGATTAGGTTAAGTTAACGTTTGGGTGTTTCATTAAGGAAATCAGCTGGAGTGTCTAATTTTCAAGTTACTATTCAGCACCCCACAATACAGATACTGTAATCAGAAGACATTAACCCTTCATAAAACTGTTCCTCACCCTGTAATTGGCTGAGTAATTTTTTTAGTTATTTAACTATAAAAACAGTAAAGGTGGTGCATTACCTTAACCAAGATGTGAATATAAATGAAAGTAAACATTACAAAATATACAGATTTACTCAAGAGAGTAATCACAATAATGATGATGATGACGACATAAGAAAATAAGGAGTCTGCAATAGGCCGGTTAGCCTATGCATGCCAGCTCCTGTCGAGAGTTACAACCACTCTATTGTCCATGACGATAATGCAACAAAAGTAACAACAACAACATATATAGCATAAATAATTTAAACTCTAGATTAAGAATATAAATAAATCCCCCAATAGCGAATAAAAACAAAGAAAATAAATATTAATGTTCATATATAAATATAAGGAGAAGGTATTGTATGTCAACCAGAGTGAATCAATCTCTTCACTGTCAACAATGGTATGGATCTTAATGCAATTTGGTGTGCCAGCTCTGTGTGTGTGTGTGTACCAGCTCTGTGTATGTGTGTAAATATACCATTCATATCGTGTCTTTGGAGCAAAACAAATAAACTTTATGCTATGATTCCTGGAACTGACCCTTGGAAATATTGTGCCAGCGATTTCTATTCTAGGTCATCAAAGGCCACGGGGTCATGGTTAACACTGTCAACCTTTATAGGATTGGTAGCAGGAGGTGTCTTGCTTCTTCAGGTAGGACACGTCGATGCCCAAGTAAGTGAGGGTTTCCTTAGCTTGGTTGATGACGCTGTAGGAGGGATGAGGCTTCCTGGTTAAGATCCACGCTATCCCTGTGGTGGGTGAGTGTTAGTTAGGTTAGGTTTGTTGGAGTTAATGTTAATTGAGGTAAAATTGGGTTAAATTTTGTCAAGGTTAAGGTAAAGTTAGGATAAATTAAAGTTTGTTAGGTGACAGTAGATTAGTAAGGTGAGTACAGTACTTGTATCTGGCCCAAGTAATCATCCAATATACCATGAGAGCGAGGTTTAGGTTAGCTTGAGGTATAGTTAATCTTAAGGTAAAGTAAGCTGGGTGGACTAAGCTTCACGTAAACCAAAATATATCTCATTCATCGTCAGCAGCAATACTTACGGGTGTGTCCAAAAGGCGGCTTCTCCACACAGGCGTATTCGAGGGTCCAGTTGTCATAGTCGGTGGCAAGGACCTCATAGTTGTCCTCGAAGACTGGTACGTTGGGGATGGTGTACGTGAGGCGGTTAGGTTGCTCGTACGGTTTCTTCCGGATCACGTTCACTGTGATTACTTTTGGCTTGTTGAACCTGAGAGTCGAATTAATGTTAGGATATTATTTATATGATAAGTCATTCATTTTTATGGATATCACTCAAGAGGTTCAAAGGTGGCGCCATCTTCCTGCATTTTGATGAACTTAAGTATAATTTCTACAACAGAAAAAAATTATTCCGTCTTAACGCCTCTTTGATTTTTTATTATCATTTAAATGTTTTGACTATCAAGGTTATCATGTATTGTTCACTGCGTCCTATCTTATCCAGTAAATAACTTATACGGATATATGTGTTGTTTGTAAGCACCGTTCACAGGTTCTCATTCTAGAAGACAATTGTTTCAAATTACACGCATTAGAACGTAAACATCTACTTACACTACGTCCCAAAAGTCGAGTCTGACTGAAATCTTGCCAGTGTGTTTGTTCTTGATGTAAGTACCACTCCAGCAGCGACCAACTGTCTGGTAGGCCACGAAATATCGCTCCTGTTCGAACCATCTGCCCAGGTACTGCTCGTGAGGTAAAAATAAATATTAATGTGCTTCATAAAAATCTAAATATACTCTGTTATTCAACTTTACAGTAATCATTATTAATTTTTTTTCTCATTAAATTATCAGTGTATGAACTATCATACACTTTACTACAATCAGAACGTTTTATTAAAAATTGTCATTTAGACGGTGTGTTTCTATTAAGGACGGAATATATGACAATCATTTCATTTAATTTAGATATACAAAACGATAAACCTTTTTCCTCCGTGTAAAATTTTAATTTATTTTTTTACAGTATATCATCATGTATTTTATATATAGCCTGTTTCTACACTTCATCTTAAAATTTACAGACAAATGAAAATCTGTAAGTAGTCTCTGAGCACTATTGGTGACAGACAGAGCGAATCAACCAAACCTAATGACCCTACTCTGTCCTACCTAAAACAAAAAACATTTAAAGGTCATTTAGGTTAGTCTCGTCAAAGAAAAAAAAACTTTAGACAGTACAACCATGCCTAATACTCACCCGGTGCCAGTCAAAGTCTTTAATGATAGGTGTTTTGGGGCATCTCCCTCTGAAGAAGACTTGTGCCTGTGTTGACGCGAGGCAGAACACCAGGCCCACCACCATGACAATCTGGCTCACCATTCTCTGTAATGTTTATGGTAACATCAGCACCTCCTTATCACTTTATACTGTTAACTTCTTATAATGTAAAATGCATATCTTTGCTATATTTACGTTATTTAACTACAATACACACATCTTTCCTATTATCTTAAAGCACAGGGAAGAAAGAGACAATGATCTGTAATTGATGACCGTGCCAACAGCCCAAGCTGCAATTAATTTTAGGAATTATTGCTTCTGAAATAAAATGGTATAAACAATTTTCTTCAGATATTAAAACCAAAAATATTATTTATTATTATTATTATTATTATTATTATTAGTAGTAGTAGTAGTAGTAGTAGTAGTAGTTGTAGTAGAAGTAGTAAAACACCCTCACTTAACCCCAGAAGAAAGATCACTCCTTGCACTACCACCGAGACTGGGAGGAATGGGATTGACCAATCCAGAGGAGATTGCTGCCACCGAACATCAAAACTCAGTTAAGCTCACGGCAGCCCTCACGGACCACATAATAGCTCAGAACGCAACAGGGGAGGTGGATGCCAGTGAAGTAAACAAGATTCGAAGGTCCAGAACGACAGCACGGCCAAAGTAATAAGTTGCAGCAACTGTTGCTGCAAGTACCAGAGAATTTGAAGGAAAAAAAAGGTAGCTATAGCGCAGGAGGTGGGCGCCTCAAACTGGTTAACTACATTACCGATAAGGGCAAATGGTTTCAGTCTCAATAAACAAGAAATTACGGATGCCAATGCTCAAAGGTGCAGTAGGCCAATAGAAGGTTTGCCTTCCCAATGCGTGTGTGGCTCTTCCTATGACGTCGATCACACCATGGTGTGCAAGAAAGGGGGCTTCATATGTATGAGGCATGACGAAGTAAGGGATCTCACAGCAAATATGTTGAAGGAAATCTGCTGTGATGTCAGGGTAGAACCGACCTTCCTTCCATTGGACCGTGATAATTTCCAACATAGGACTTCAAACACATCCAATGAAGCCCGTGTTGACGTCAGTGCTCGAGGATTCTGGACGCGGGGACAGAGCCTTCTTCGACATCAGGATTTTCGATCCCATGGCCGCATGTCACCGTAACTTAGCTCCCGATGCTGCATACAGGAGGAACGAGAAAGACAAAATAAGGGAATACGGGGAGAGAATTCAGAACGTTGATCAAGGCAGCTTCACTCCTCTTGTGTTCACAACCTCTGGTGGGATGGGACCAAGTGCAAGATGCTTCTACGCCAGACTCGTGGAGGTGCTATCCGAACAGAAGCAGCAGCCCAGAAGTTATGTTACAGCCTGAATGAGTTGTCGACTGTCCTTCTCTCTCCTTAGGTCGGCTTTGCTCTGCCTTAGGGGAACGAGAGCATCGGCCCCAAAGCCGACAACAGTTGCAGATATTGACTATGAGGCAACAGTCACTGAATGCCGCATAGATCTGCGGCTCAACTAACTCAACACAGCTAGGATAGCTACTTATGTATTAGAATATTTAATTTTAAGGTAATAAAATGGCGGCGAAGGTATGGCTATAAGGGGAGGCTGGAGGCCATGTTATTAAAAAATAAAGTATTCATAGTAGTAGTAGCAGTTATTATTAGTCGTATATTATCATTACTAAGAATGCCTATGTATGCATTACGATAATGTTACTACTATTCTCCTACTCTGGACAGTTCCACAAGCAAGTGCAAATAACAAGCTCCTGCCACACCAGAAAGTGATCCATAAATGAAGATGTGGACACCCTACACACAGCACCAAGACGTGTTAAATTCACGGTGAAGCTTATTACCGTCGACACCATCGCACCACCACCAGGAGGCAGAGTGTTGCACCCTTGGCTGCACCACGCAGATGTCTCCCCGGCAGGAACGTTTACCTAACCACACCCAATTACAAGAACGCAGCAGCAGTGGCAAGCGCTTCAACTGAATATAGTGAGAAACTGAAGCAAGAATGGGAGAGTTATTTATTTTACTTTAACTATGGTTTCTAGTGTCCAGTAATAAGAGTGGTAATTTTAGCGAGTTTCTAATTTCCAGTAAACATAATGACAATGGCGAAGACGATCAAGCAACAGTAAAGTAATAATCTCTTATTTTCTAGTTTCATTATTGTTGTTATTGTATTATTACTATTTTTATCGTGTTATTCATTATTCACTTTTCTAATTATTACTTTAGCGATAAATCTCCGACAACTTCAAATGTGTCAATGATGTCCTTATTACCACAGAAGAACGGTAAAAACCAAGGTCCTAAAGAGAGAGTTCACTGGACTTGTTAGGGGAGGTCCGCCACGAATAAGAGCGTGTCTGCTTTCTACATAACCTGTAGCAGCAAAGGGCTAAAGATAAGAGGTGAGAGTATGTTAATATCGCGGAACGCACCATCTGCTCACCTGGCTGTGTTAAGGCGGCGTCACACTGTCATTCTTCCGTCGATTTTTTGTCAACTTTTAGAAAATCGTTAAACCTTTTGTTGGGCACCGTCACACAAGCGTTTAGAACCAACTCGCCATTTTCCCTCGTTTGACAACTGTCAAGTTCAACAAACAAGATGGATCCAACTGACGAAGAAAGAGCAGCAATTCTACGCCTTTTTTGGTGTATGAAGAGTCCTGGTGATCCCAGAGACAGCGGCGCTGCCTTATCTAGTCCACCAAGAACTCCTCGGAGGCGTGTCCATACTTGAGAAATTATTTTTTCTGTTGCCTCCGTCATATTATTATTCCCCGTGGTCAAAATGGAAACAAATAACATTTTCTTACCTCTTAAAAATCACGAAATTAAACATAATAATGAGTAATCTTGGGAAGAAGAGTAATAACTACTTCATAATAATTTTAGCTATATATTTTAAATAATTTTTATTTTATTTTTATAACTTTTTAGTATCAATAATATAGATCTTGAGTTGACTCCGGTAAGTTGTCGTACGAGTCATCAGTACAGACGGTGTGTACCGTTTGACAAAGCTGACGACCGCCGACGATTCATGAAAAAAGTCGACAATACTGAAAGTTGACAATATAAATGCAAGTGTGACGCCGCCTTTAAGCTATTCTTCCTAGTGTCGGCTTACTGTTTATCACTTTTTATATACCTGCACTGTACTATACAGTATGTGGTGATTTAGGTTAGGCATATTCTAGGTCTTTAACGTTCAATTATTACTACATGTACCATTTCATTATTTCTCTAAATTAAACTTCATAACTTAGTGGATATGATGAACGCCTTTGACTTCGTAACTTGTATCATTGTACCGAATACCTGTAATTATACGAGCGCTGTAACAAGACCATTTTTAGAGGAATCTACTAACTGGTTTCAGAATAGTTACCAGATGCTCACACAGTTTTTATGAGTGTTAGAATATAGTCACTTGGTACCATTGATACCATAAATAGCTGTCGTAAACGGTAGAAACTAGTTATTAGATGAATATAAACAGTTATGTGTGGGGCGGCGTTGTTTACTTCGGCGAGTAGACTCCGTAGTGACTGACTGCCTTGAGAGCTAAAAGAACGTTTGGAAGTTGGAAGTCCTGGATAATAGGCCAAGTTTTCACTCTTTAAAAGTTAGTTAAAAATAACAAGGGCATCAAGCCGTTACAGCTTGTTTCAAATTTACGTAATGACAACTTAAGCAAGTGTGGAAAATGATCATAAAAACAGTGATGGTGATAAGAGAAGTATAGTCACCAGTTATCACACTTATGATGGTGTACAATATCCGAATGAAAACATAATACTGGTTTCATATCTTCATAATTACAACAACAAAAAATAGTGAAAGCTCATGATATTTTTCCCGCGTCTGTGAGGTTTAAGAATTAAGTGGAGATGTTCTGTTAAGTGTGTGTTTTCTCAGCTGAGAAAAAACGCACTATAGTACATACCATGCAGTTTATGGATCTGGGTACACAATTGAAAAATTCGAGAAACTAGTATTAATTAATGACCTTTGAAATAATTAACTAAATTTAGAATATTTAAATTTAATTACGTTATGCCACTACGTTTAAATCCCCTTTATATATATATTTTCTTAAAAATACATAAGAACATAAGAAAGTGGATAATGTGCAGGAGGCCGACTGGCCCATACAGGCAGATCCCTTTTCACACCCATCCCAGCACTTCCATGTGCCTATCCAATCCCTGTCTTGAAGCCCCCTAGCGTCCCCGATCCTACTATAGCACCTGCAGCCTATTCCACATATCCACAACTCTATTACCAAACCATGTTTGCCTATATCCTTCTGAATCGGAATTTATCTAATGACTATTCCCAATTACTCTCATCTAATATGTCATGGAAGCCACACATCCTCAACATTGCTAAAGCTGCCTTCCGAAAGCTGAGAATGCTGTACAGATGCCATAGCTACTTCACTCCTGAGCAGTGCTCCAAGTATATAAGGGATTCATTGGTCCTAACATAAGAAAATAAGGAGTCTGCAATAGGCCGGTTGGCCTGTGCATGGCAGCTCCTGTCGAGTTACTACCACTCTCTATCATCCATAAATCTATCTAGCCTCCTTTTAAAACTTTCCAGAGTTCCCGCACTTACTACAAAGTTGCTAAGCTTGTTCCACTCGTCCACCACCCTATTTGTGAACCAGTTTCTTCATATCTCCCTCCTAAACCTAAACTTATCCAACTTGAATCCGTTGCTCCGAGTCCTATCCTGCTCGGATATTATAAGAACTTTATCTATATCCCCTTTATTGATTCCTTTCACCCACTTAAATACTTCTATCATATCTCCCCGCACCCTTCGTCTTTCTAGGGAATGCAAGTTAAGTTTCTGTAACCTATCCTGATATGGAAGGTTTCTAAGTCCCAGAATCATTTTTGTCATTCTTCGAAGCACCGACTCTAGTGAATTTATATCCATTCTATAATAGGGGCACCAGAACTGAACCGCATAATCGAGGTGCGGCCTGACTAGCGCAAGACAGGTGCTGCACAAGGTTTCTGCACTCTTGTTACTTACACTTCTAGATATAAAA